AAAAAGAACTTGAAGGATATAGAGACGGTGATTGCCACTATATCTCCATTCACTTTGCCTATTTGGCCTGTGTGAAAAAGAGATGGATCATGGAAAATAACAGTGAAGATCATGGAGAATGGCAGTGGATTATTATAAATCCATCCAGGTGGTTTTCCAGATATGATTTCATTTCTTAAACCAATCAATACATCTCCTGATACCTGGTATATGACAACTGACCTGGCCAATGCCTTTTTCTTGATTCCAGTTGTGAAAGAACACCAGAAGCGATTTGCCTTCATTTGACCAGGCCTGCAATATACTTCCACTGTCCTACCTCAGAGATATATCCACTTTCCAGCCCCATGTTATAATTTAGTCTGCAGGACCTTGATTACCTTTCCCTCCCAAAAGACATCACACTGGTACATTACATTGATGACTTTATATGATTGGACCTAATAAGGAAGAAATATACATGATTCCAGACTTATTGGTAAGACATTTGCATGCTAGAGGGTGTGAGACTAATCTGACAGAAATTTAGGCACCCTCCATCTCAGTGAAATTTCTAGGGGGTGTAGTGGCATGGGGTAGGTCAAGATATTCCTTCTAAAGTGAAAGATAAGTTATTACATCTGGACTCCCCTACAACTAAAAAGGAAACACAATGCCTGGTGGTCTTTTTGGATTTTAGAGGCAACATATCCCACATTGGGAGCTCTGGTGGCATAGTACCTAAAGCATTTGACTAGTAACCAGAATGCTGGTAGTTCAAATCCACAAGCAACTCCTCGGCTGTAGACTGGGGAATCTACTTCCGTAGAGATACTACCTCAGAAACTCAAGGAGGGGTCATATGAACTGAATCGACTTGATGGTGGTGAGTTTGGGTTTTTTGTTTATATGCCACATTTGGGTATACTACTCTGGCCTACTTATCAAATGACTTGAAAGCCTCTGAGTGGAGCCCAGAACAAGAGAAGGCTCTGCACCAGATTCAGGCTCCCCTACAAGTCACTCTGCTTCTTGGGCCATATGGTCCACCTGATTCACTGAATCAGTGTTCACTGAAGTGGCAGTGGAAAATAGAGATACTCTTTGTAGTCTTTGGCAGGCCTCTGTTGGTGAATCACAGTGCAGGAATTTAGAATTTTGGAGCCAAGCTCTGCCATTCAATGCAAATAACTACTCTCCTTTTAAGATATAGCCTTTGGCTCTTTACTGGACCTTAGTAGAAACTGAATGCTCTACTATGGGCTACTAAATCACTATGAATTCTGTGCTGCTCATTATGAAATGAGTGTTGTCTGACCCATAGAGTCATAAAATCAGATGTACACAGTAGCACTCCATTATTAAATGAAAGTGATATATACCAGGTTGGGTTTGAGTAGGACCTGAAGGCAAAAGTAAGTTAAGTGAGAAAGTGATCCAAATGTCCATGATCCTCACTCTTGTCACATTACCTTCCTTCTCTAGTCTGCAATTATGGCCTTATGGAGAGTTCCTTATGATTAGTTACACCATCTAAAGAAGATGGTTTATAGATAGTTCTGCATGCTATTCAGGCACCACTCAAAAGTGGACAGTGGCAGAACTGTTGCCCCCTTCTGGGACCTCTCTGAAGGACAATGGTGAAGGAAAATTCCTCCAATGGGCAGAACTTTGAGCAGGCCACCTGGTTGTTCATTTTGCATGGAAGGAGAGATGGCCAAACATGTGATTGTATACAGATTTATGGGATATGGTCAGTGGTTTGGCTGGATGGTCAGGGACTTGGAAGGAACATGGTTGGAAAATTGGTGCCAAGTAGATATGAGGAAGAGACATGTGGGTAGACCTCTCTGAATGGGCCAAAGAAGTGAAGATATCTGCATATCATGTGAATGCTCACCAAAGGGTGACCTCAGTAGAGACAGATATTCACTTAAATGGACAGGATGACACATTCTACCAGTCAGTCTCCTTCCCCAGCCACTCCTGTCATTGCCCAATGGGCTCAAGAACAAAGAGGCCATAGTGACAAGGTTGGAAGTTATGCATGGGCTCAACAACATGGACTTCCACTCCACAAGGCTGACTTGTCTAGAGCCACTGCTGAGGACCCAATGTGGAAGCAGCAGAGACCAACACTGAGTCCTCCAATATATCAGCCTTCTTCAGAGTGATCAGCCAGTACTTGGTGGCAGGTTGATTACATTGGACCACTTCCATCATAGAAAAGGCAGTGGTTTGTTATTACTAGGATAGACACTTACTCTGGATATGAATTTACCTTCCCTGCACAAAATACTTCTGCCAAAACTACCATCCATGGACTTACAATATGCCTTACCCACCACAACAGTAACCCATATGCGTTGCCTTGAATCAAGGAACTCACTTCACAGCAAATGAAGGGCAGCAGAAGGCTCATTCTCATGGAATTCACTGGTCTTACCATGTTCCCTATCATCCTGAAGCAGCTGGTTTGATAGAATGATGGAATGGCCTTCTAGAGACAATTAAGGTGCCAGCTAGGAAGGAACACTTTGCAGTGTTGGAGCAGTGTTCTCCAAAAAGCTGTATATGCTCTAAACCAACACCCAATGCATGATGCTCTTTCATCGATAGCCAGGATTCATGAGTCCAAGAATCAAGGGATGGAAATGGGAATGGCATCACTCACAATTACCCCTAGTGGCTCACTCACAAAATTTTTGCCTCCTGTCCCTGTGACCCAATGCTCTGCAGGTCTAGAGGTCTTAGTTCTAAAGGGAAGAATGCTCCCACAAGAAAATACAGCACTGATTCATTGAACTGGAATTTAAGGATGTCACTCTTTCACTTTGGGATCCTCATGTCTCTGAATCAACAGGCAAAGAAAGAAGATACCATATTGGCTTGTGTGATTTATCCTTATTACCAAGGGGAAATCAGCAACCTAATTCTGATATGATTACTAATGGCCCAGACCCTTCAGGAATGAAATTTTGGGTCACCACACCAGGCAAAGAACCATGACCAGCTAAGGTATTTGCTAAGGTCAAAGGAACATGGAATGGGTGGTGAAAGAAGGTAGTTCTAAATAACAACTATGGCCACATGACCAGTTGCAGAAACATGGAGTGTAATTGTCTTTAGTATTTCTTCCTTGTTTGGTTATATGTGTATGCATGATACATATAACAAATATTTTTCTCTTCCCTCTCTTTTTCAAGTACTTATTATAAGATTTAAAATGCAAATGAGTCTAGTGCATTTTCAATTGTATACATGTTAGTTGTATCATGTTAGGCACAAGTATGACTTTATAAATGCCTTTATTTAGAGATTATGTGGCTTAAGGAGATGTGTACAGGTACCAAGTTGACAAGGGGTAAACTCTGATGGTTAAGGTTATGTGTCAGCTTGGCTAGGCCACGATTCTCAGGGGTTTGAATGATTTATGTAATCATTCTCTATTTTGTGATCTTGTGTGGGTAGCCAATCTTTGAGAGGGGAATTTCCTTGGGGTGTCCTCTGCATACAATATATATAGATGTTCTGGCAAAGCTCACCCTCTTTCAATCCTGCATCCAACTCATTATCAAGCTCTGATTCTTGGGAAATGAGCCAGCAGCCTGCCATCTGACATGTAGATTTTGGGATTTGTCAGCTCCCACAACCTCAAGAGCCAGTAGCTTTCTGCCTGACATGCTAGTTTTGAGATGGTCAGCCTCTGCATCCACATGAGTCAGGAGAAACCTCGAGCCAGATATCTATCCCATATA